AGTAATACACTATGACCAAGGAGGGTTCATACTAGGTACATAAGGATGGGTCAACATTAGAAAAACAATCATCATCATCCACTATATAAATAAAACAAAGGAAAAGAACCACATGATCATATCAATCGATGCAGAAAAGGCATTGGATAAAACCCAACACCCATTCCTGGTAAAAACTCAGCAAAATACGAATTGTTGTTGTTGTTGTTTGCTGTCGAGTCGGCCCCGACTCATAGCGACCCCTCCTTGGGTTTCCGAGGCAGTATCACTATGTAAGTAGGATTGCCCAACCTTCCTTCCGAGGAGTGGCTGGTGGGTTTGAACCGCCAGCCTTCTGGTGAGCAGTCAAGTGCTTTAGGCACTATGCTACCAGAGCTCCTAAAAATATGAATAGAAGAGACATTCCTCAACATAATAAAGGGCATATGTACAAAACCAACAGTCAACATTATTCTCAATGGAGAGAGACTGAAACCATTCCTCTTGAGAACAGGAACCAGACAAGGATGTCCTCTATCATCACATATAGGATGTCCTAGCCAGGGCAGTAAGACAAGAAAGGGAAATCCAAAGTATCCAAATTGGTAAGAAAGAGTGAAACTATCCTTATTTGTTGATGACATGATCCCATACATAGAAAACCCAAGAGACTCAGAAAAAACTACTAGAACTAATTGAGAGATTTAGCATAATGGAAGGATACAAGATGAACATACAAAAATCAGTTGAATTCTGCCACATAGCAAAGAGATTGCTGAAAAGGAAATAAGGAAATCAATACCATTTACAATGGCTACAATATAATAAAATATTTGGGAATAAATCTTACTAGGGGCATAAAAGACACGTACAAAGAAAACTACAAAGCACTACTACAGGAAAACCATAGGAGATGTATATAAATGGAAGAACATACCATGCTTGTGGACAGGAAGATTTAACACTGTGAAAATGTCACTACTACCCAAAGCAATCTATACATTCAACGCAATCTCAATCCAGATCCCATCAACATTCTTTAATGATATGGAAAAAACAATCACTAATTTTATAAGGAGGAGCTCTGGTAGCATAGTGCCTAAGGCACTTGACTGCTAACCAGAAGGCTGGCAGTTCAAACTCACCAGCCACTCCCCAGAAGGAAGATGGGGCAATCTACTTCCGTAATGATACTGCCTCGGAAACCCAAGGAGGGGTCGCTATGAGTCGCGTACAACTCGAGGGCACATAACAACACCTCCACAACAATTTTATAAGGAAAGCAAAGAGACTTCAAATAAGCAAAGCACTTGTTCTGGTTACCTCTGTGCTGCTCTAACAGAAGATATACCACAAATGGGATGGCCATAACAAACAGGAGTTTATTCTCTTACAGTTCAGGAGGCTAGAAGTCTGAGTTCAAAGTGCCAGGCTCTAGAGGGCTGTGTGAAAGCCCTTCGACCTTGGGCTTCAGCTCTGCCTCCTGCTCCCAGACCACAGAAGCTAGAGGCATCTCTCCACTCAGGCAGCTACTGGCTACTGAGGCTAACAAGCCCAAGGTCAACAAATAAAATGGCACAGTCCCAATGTTACCAAACCACACGGCCATTAATTCAAGTCCATTTTAAGTCCCAAGGTCAGCAGAGCATGGCAGGCTGCTGAACAATGACTAGGGTATCTGTAGGGTTCAAGCATGCCATTAGCTAGAGACCATTCCCCAAGGCTTCGCCTTATATACAGGAAGCAGACCACATCCCTAAGGCAACTACACAGCTGCTTAGAGTAGATTCCACCATTGAGTTGATAACCAATCTCATCATGGGAAATACATCCAGCTGTATGTATGCAGGCACAGTATTCAAGATAACCTGGTACTGTACAATGGCCTGTGGAATAGAATTGAGAACCCAGAAATGATAGATCCATTGACCTTTTGTCAGTTGATTTTTGACAAAGGGCTGAAATCCATTAAATGGGAAAGAGATGGTCTTTTAAAAAATGGTGCTGGCAAAACTGGATATCCATTTGCAGAAAAATGATACAAGATCTGTACCTCACACCATACACAAAAACTAAGTCTAGGGGGATCAAAGACATAAATGTGAAACCTGAAATTATAAAGTTCCTCAAAGAAAAAATAGGGACAAATTTAGGGGCCCTTCTTTACGGCATGAATAGATTTGTCAATCATAACCCAAAATGCACAAAGAGCAGAAGATAAACTAGATGAATGGGACTTCCCAAAAATTAAATTTTTATGCTTTTCAAAACACTTCTCCAAGAGAGTAAAAAGAGAACCTACAGATTGGGGAAAAATATTCAGAAACTATGTATCTGACCAGGGACTTACCTCTAAAATTTATAGAAAACTGCAATACCTCAACAACAAAAAAACAAACAAACCAATTAAAAAATAGGCAGAAGACATGAACAGACACTTCACCAAAGAAGATAATCAGATGACCAACAAACACATGAAGAAATGTTCACAATCATTAGCCATTAGAGAGATATAAATTGAAATAAAAATGATATACCATCTTGTCCCAGCACTAACAGCATAGTTCAACAAGACAGAAAATAACAAAGTATGTAACAAAGTAAGAATATGTAGACAGATTGGGATTCTCATAAACTGCTGGTGGGACTGTCAAATGATACAACCACTGTGGAAATCAGTATGGTGATTCCTTAAAGAACTTGGAATTAGAAATACCATTTGATGCAGGTATATATATTACTAGGTATATATCCTAAAGAAGTGAGAGCCAGGACAAGAATAGATATATGCACACCAATGTTCATCGCAGTACTATTTACAACAGCAAAAAGATGGAAACAACCTAGGTGTCCATCAACTGAAGAATCGATAACCAAACTATGGTACATAACACACAATGGAATACGATGCAACAAAGAATAACGTAAAATCTACAAAACACTGTCTACGTGGATGACTTTGGAGGACATTATGCTGAGTGAAATAAGTCAATCACAGAAGGACAAATATCGTATTAATTCATTAGTGTAAAAAGTGAAGGAAAGGTTTATATACGGAAGGAAACTTTCTTTGTTGGTTACCAGGGGTTGGAGGGGAGGGGTTGGAACACTGCATGCATGCATGAATGAATGAACAAAAATCAAGTCCCAGCACTTTAGAAGATTCAGAGATATCATGGCTTTAATTTTTAAATTATAAGCCAAACACTTACAGAAACAGACACTATTTATGTGCTAAGGGTTCTTCCTATTCACATTACCAAGAATGCACCTGCCACTGAAACTATCAAGAATCTTAATGACACAGAGGTTAAGCTGCTAACCAAAAGGTCAGTGGTCCAAACCTAACAGCTGCTCCATCAAAGAAAAATGAGGGAGTCTGATTCCATAAAGACTTACAGCCTTGGGAATCATATAAGGCATTTCTACTCTTTCATGAGGGTCAACACAAGTTGAAATCGATTCCACAGCAATGGGTATGTATATACACACTGAAACAATCAGTTGGTAAACCAGTGGACGTTTCTCATGTCAATGACCATCTTCTCCTATGTAATACTGTTCCTCTCTTACGTATTTCCAAGATCTAGAACTTCTTATCACCGAATGGCATAACATGTACAAATCTATATTTGTGGAGTGCTATGGTTGTTCTCGGGAGCTCTGGTAGCACAGTGCCTAAGGCACTTGACTGCTAACCAGAAGGCTGGCAGTTCAAACCCACCAGCCACTCCTCAGAAGGAAGATGGGGCAATCTACTTCCATACTGATACTGCCTTGGAAATCCAAGGAGGGGTGTCACTATGAGTCGGGTCCAATTCAACAGCACATAACAACAACATGGTTGTTCTCAGGAGCTCTGGCAGCAGAGTGCCTAAGGCACTTGACTGCTAACCAGAAGGCTGGCAGTTCAAACCCACAAGCCACTCCTTGGAAGGAAGGTTGGGCAATCTACTTCCATAGTGATACCACCTCGGAAACCCAAGGAGGGGTCGCTATGAGTCAGGTCTGACTCAATGGCACATAACAACAACAACATGGTTGTTCTCGGCAATGGGTGTGTGTATATATATATACACACATATACACATATACACATATACATATACATATACATATACATATACACACACACACTGAAACTATCAGCTGGTAAACCAGGGGAATTTTCTCATGTCAATAACCATCTTCACCTGTAATACTGTTCCTCTCTCATGTATTTCCAAGATCTAGAACTTCTTATCCCCGGATAGCATAACAAGTACAAATCTGTATTTGTGGAGTGCTCTGGTTGTTCTCCAGAAATTCTGGTGGTCCAATGGTTTAGGCATTCGGCTGCTAACCAACTGTTCAGCAGTTTGAACCAATCAGTTGCTCTATGGTAGAAACATATGGCAGTCTGCTTCCATAGAGATTTACAGCCCTCAAAACCCTATGGAGCAATTCTAACAGTATCTAATAGGGTCCCAATGAGTGAGAATCAACTCAATGATAGTGGGTTTGGGTTTTGGATTTTTATGGGTATTCTCTTTGGCTAAGAAGTATTGAGACTGTAATGTTGGAATGCATTCACAGCAATCCCAAACTATAATTTGATATGGATATTCTCTATTAAAACAAAGTAAATGATACAAAAACGTATGCATAATCCAGCAGCATTTCAGCTTTGGAAGACTATCCATCATTCAATGTTACAGCAGTTCTATGGAAAGGGAACTCCAAATTTGAAACTCTCATTTTACTATCATTTGAAACGTAAGTTATAAGCAACTGTGTGAATAAAATGTTTGTTATACATATAGTATTACTTATCACAAATAACCACCTCATAGGTCAGGTCTCATGAACATTTCATGTCATAACATTTTAAAGTAAAATGAACTTGTAAGATATTCCCAAGCCTCTAAATGTCACATATGTTGAGAGAGAGAAAAAACAAAGATAATAAGAAATATAGCTAGATAGTTAAAAGGTTCATCAAAGGACTAAGTCAGAAATATATAATTCAGTAGTTTAAATACCTCATATTTGAAACTGGGTCTTGTGGAACTGAACCAACTGTTGGAACCGAAGGTAATTTTGCTTGAGATGATTTACTACCTATAAAAGAAAAATGTCCATTACTATTTGAATAGCATTCAAGTTTAACAATTAACAAGGTATTTCTATAATTCTTTCATACACAAATTTTTTAGTTAAAAGCTTAATTATCACTTGAAGCTATCTTTAACCATCCTGGAATGGACATGTACAGTGTCAAATTTCCCTCTATGCCACACAGACCACAAAATACTGAAATTCAAAAGGATCATAACATAAAAACCTAAAGAATACAGGTACAGAATATGTATATTTTGCTTGCAGCTACAATTCAGAAAGTCAAATTTCATTTTCTGAAACCAGTATCCAAATCGAGTGCCACTTAGTGTTAAGGTAATATAAATTGAAATTCCATCCCAATTCTATATAAGGATGGACCAAGAGAGATAGCTAACCTAAAGAACAAGAGGTAACAAACATTAGGCAAATCAAAAATAACTATGGAAAGCTAATACACTGGACAAAAAAGGATCCTGGAATCCATACATTAATAGGGGTGTGCTGCTTTTAATACATTCTTCAAACTTTAGGCATTGGTATGCTGGGAGCAGATAGAGGGAAAAAGTGGTATAGACAGAGAGAGGTAAGGGAAGATAGAAGAAGAAACACTCATCTAAGATGTAGAAAGAAACATAATGAACCAAAAGAGACCTACATAAATGGAAGACGATACCATGCTCATGGATAAGAAGACTTAACATCTAGAAAATGTTAATACTACTCAAAGTGATAAACAGATATAATGTAATGCTCATCCAGATTCCATCACCTTTCTTTAATGATATGGAAAACCTCATCACCAATTTTACATGGAAAGGAAAGGACCCTGGATCAGTAAAGTACTGCTGAAGAAGAACAACAAAGTAGGACATTCCATACTCCTCGATTTTAAAACCTACTATAGAAGCACAGTACTTAATACAGCCTGGTACCCAGGGGGGACTGTGCCCAGGACTATGTACAGGGTTGGCACATAATGTTTCTACAAGCATATTTGTATGTGCTGTACGAATGTCCAGGTGTACAGTAGAGATAACAAGGGACAAGGTTGTGCTGACTTCTTGGCCAAAGCCAGTTACCCTGAGGGACCAAGTGGCTGGACCTGTAGGCTCAGGATCATGATTGCAGGGGACATCAAGCTCAATTGTCATAACATACTACACAAAAACATTGGCCTACATCCTACTTTAGGAGTTCTGGTGGCATAGTGCCTAAGGCATCTGACTGCTAAGACGGCTGGCAGTTCAAATCTACCAGCCACTCCTCAGAAGGAGGATTGGGCAATCTACTTCCGTAGTGAAAGAGCCTCGGAAACCCAAGGAGGGGTTGCTAATGAGTTGTAATCAACTTGACGCCAGTGAGTTTGGGGTTTTTTATTAACATCCTACTTTAGTGAGTGGCAAGTGGGGTCTTAAAAGCTTGCAAGCAGCCATCTAGATGCAATGATGGGTCTCTCTTCTTCCAGAGCAAAGAATGAAGAAAAGCAAAGACATATGGAAACAATTAGTCTGAGGGATACCAGAAGAAATAGATGGTGCCCAGTCACCACTGTCAACCACTCAACAGGGGGATCAGTGCAAGAGATCCTAGAGTAGGAGGACAATGTAGAACAAAATTCAAAATCATAAAAACAACAACAACAAAAAAAAAAAAAACAGGTTGGCTGGTCTGGCAGAGCCTGCTAAGACACAAGACTATGGGTCCTAGTTACTCTCCAGGTCTGGAACTGAACTCACTCTTGCAGCTTCCAGCCAAACAGCAGACACACATGAGGTGAACATTTACAGCAAGTAGGTACACTCCTTGGAGTGATCAATCATATGGTAACAGAAGGACAGTGTTTCCACAGGTAGACAACTGAGGGGCAGGGGGAAGTGCATGGGAGGGAAGGACTCAGGGAAGAGACAACTATGGGGAGCAAGTGGGAAGAGAGCTGTTACCTTGTGGGGAATAGCAGTCAATGTTAGGAAACAAAATGTGTATGAACTGCTATACAGAAAATGAATTTGCTGTGTAAACTTTCACCCAAATCACAATTAAAAATAAAAAAAAAATAAATAAACAAAATTAAAAAAAAAAAAAAAAAAAAACAGCTTGGCACTGATACAACAGACACATAGAACAATGGAACAGAATTGAAAATCCAGAAGTATATCTGTCCACCCTTGGAAAGCTTATCTTTGACAAAGGACGAAAACTCATTAAATGGGGAAGAGATACTCTCCTTAATAAAACCTGCTAGCACAACACGATACAGAATTGCACAAAAATGAAACAGGATCCATACCTCATACCATACACATACACAAACTGAAGGTGTATCAAAGACCTGAATGTAAAACCTAAAACCAAAAAACCATCAAAGAGAAAAGAGAACAAAGGGGCATAATTAATAATAGAATAATAGAACATAGAGGCATATTTCAGCATGTTGTTGCTGTTGTTATTTGCCGTCGAGTCGCCCTCGACTCATAGCGACCCCTCCTTGGGTTTCCGAGGCAGTATCACTACGGAAGTAGGATTGCCCAACCTTCCTTCCGAGGAGTGGCTGGTGGGTTTGAAC